CTACCTGTTTCTGTAAACTCTAAATTTCTGAACCTCTCGGCAGCCGCCAAATCTTGCACCTTATGAAATGCAGGATTAACAGTAAGAACACCAATCGGTGTACCTTTGGAGAAAATACACGCCAGTAATAAACTAAGATCTTTATAGGAAAAAGTACCAAAATAAAGCTTAATTGGATGTTGGAATGACAAATCGCGAGCATGCCCAAATTTGTCAAGAGGATACCATGAAGTGCACCTAAATTCTGAGAGCATAACAGTGGTGTTGTAAGATTAACATCTTCCAGCACATAAAGTACTCAATCGATAAAAAAGATGTATTATAATTCCATCAAAATCAAACTAACTACCTTTGTCTCCACATTTACTGTGATATGAATCAACAAAATCAACAGCATCATTTGAAAAAAAGAGATCAAAGAACTCCTCCACCTTTATCTATGCTCCCAAGATGGCAAAGTGAAAATCAGAGCATGCTCAACAATTTTGCAACACAATATGACTTTGGGGCAAAAAGAAAATATACATACTGGGAACTTTGATTCTGCAAGTTGTTTATAACATTCAGGAACTGCATACATAAAAGAGTCAGTTAAAAATAAACAAAAATGATTTGTGATATTAACATATTAATCATAACCCGTGCCTAAAGGCACGATAAAACATAAAATTCGAGCGTCCAAAAAATCAATCCCACTATATTAAATTTTTTCAACATGTGTATACTATTATATGGATAATGTTTGAAATAAAAATTATGTTAAACTCCAAATTAATCAAATATTAAATGATTGAACATGTGATAGAAATGAGTGATGTGATATTTTTAGAGGGGGAAATATGTAAGGAATAAAAATTCAAGTTACTATATGTTTTATTATATAGATAACAAAAGTAGGAGGGATCAATTAAAGCACCAAAAAGTAGTATCTACCGAAAAAATCCACAATCCTTACAAGTATGTAATCTGTATCACCCCAGGAGACATACAGCACACAAATTTCCAGATTATTGTTACAATATAACATGTAAGATGTAACGGACAGAATTTCTAAAAAGGACATAAGGCAACCTGCACCACAATTGCATGCCAACAAGAGATGCCTTCACGTGCACACAGACACCCATCCACCCATCCCAACACATAAGAACACAGATGGAAACATCCCCATGGGCATTATAGAGTATAACGAACAAGGTGCTGCCTGACACACACAAAGGCCTAAGACGAAAATTTTAAATGGTGCCTAATTAATCTTTTGATTAATCATACAAATCATACTGAATAGTAATCAACATATTAAAATATTAAATTTGAAAATATCTTTCTTGTTTCTTCAAATGCAAACATATTAATTAAGTTCTTGTGCATGGAAACTCCATCAGTCGAAGTCAAATACCGATGCTAAATGTAATCAAGATTGTTATCAGTTGAACATATAGAGAAAACAATCAAACTTGGTTTTGGTATAAAAGGACGAATGTAAGTAGGAATTTGCGTGTGCTGAATTGTTTTAGAAGAAATGCAGAGTGGTTAAAGATTGCAAAGATGCAAATTCAAGTTTAAGCAAGAATATCAAGTAGGGAACTTATGGTTGTAGTTCGATTTGGATAATGAATTGCTCCTACTCACACAGTTTTCTGGTATAATGTGTATTATAAATAAAACCACTGAGCCAAAAATCCAACACATATCAAAAAGAGCCTTGAATTTAATTCAAGAAAGAAAAAGTTACAACCCACAAGAAGTAGGTGAATGACACTTAATATGATTTTGAAAACAAGACATAAAAAATATTGAAATTTACCAAAAACCCGAAATCGGAATCCACATTTTTCATGTGAACAAGGAAAAAACACAAAAGTAAAAGATATCTGTAAGTTAGAACATGTGTTCTCCACAAAAATCCCTATACTGATTTTTGACACAAAATTCATAAGATCTAAAAATGAACCCAATAAACAATAGGTAAAGCAAACAACAATATAACCTGCGGAGAATAGTCCATGACCTGCCACTGATGTTGAGCTATTTATGATGAAGTTTTGAATGCATTATGGATCGACAGCAGACAAGAAATCGCTGGAATTAATGTACGAACCACAAGGGATCCACGATGTCTTTGTATCGTGTGTGAGAGAGAGAAATTAGGGAGAGGGAGAGGGAGAGAAGTAAAGAGAGAACAAAGGGCTTGCAGGTGTGAGAAGGAGATAGAACGACAACCATAGCTATTCTCTCTAGTACATTTGGGTTAGGAAAATAATATATGTTTTCGATTTCATATATAAAAACGTGTAAGACAAAAAGTGCGGCTTGCACTCAAAGTTTCAAAATTCCATTTAAGAGGCCTAAATCTCATTAGGGACCATGATACAAAAATTTTGTTGGGGCCCTGAGGCAGCCACCTAAATGACATGAAGCGGCCTTGTACCCAAACTACAAATACACCACCAAGCGCAGAGGCAACCACATGCACAAGCACAAACAAAAGCGCATGCACGCCAATACGGGGCAAACATGCAACATAACATCATATTTCAAAGGTACTAGATCTTGCAAAGTTGAGCAATCAAACAACCACAAAGTAACTTGCACACGTATGTATGCATGCTCAACAATGTGCTACTCCATGGGTTTGACTAACCAACAAGGCAGTCAAAACATGCATTGCAAAAATGTATTTTTTTTAAAAATAATATATCATGTATCCTAATGAATCGTATATCATAAGACATGACTAATTTTTAAAAAATATATTATATATTATTGTGTATATATAAATATCATTTCAACTCTTATCATTTGGTGTGTTATGGGTTTGCGACAAAAATCGAAATAGAGACAACCCGCCATCTTCGTGACAAGATTCAAAATATCAGTTGAGTTCGATGCAACTTAGTCAAGTCGTATCCGACTCAGCCCCTTTGATCTGATAGCAATATACATTACATGAATATAGCGATATTCAACCTAATCGGTGTTGACTCGAGTGTGACTCAGAGGTATCGGCCTAAGTCGAAGTCGACTAGGGCAATATCAATCGTTTCGAGACGATAATATGCAACTTGATGTGCAAAACCCCCAGACAAGCTGCAAAAAGTAAAAAACAAAGAGGAAAAGAGAAGAAGAAGAAGAAGAAAAAGAAAAAGAACAAGACCAAGTTGTAGATTCAATGGCCAAATCAAAAAGGATGATAAGAAATAAAGCAAATATTGCAGACCCAGCAAATTCATTGATTCTTCAACACTAAAGCACACCCTTTTGTAAATATAGAAAGGGGAGAAAGAATTGAGAGGAATTGTAATAAAACCTGTAAAATCAATTTCAAAAAAACCCTCTTCGCCGTCTTCTTCTCTCATCCATTATTCCCAAATAGCAGCAACGAGCCTTTGATTTGGCCGATGGGTTCTTCTCCTCTCCGATCACTGTTGTTCTCCTCATCTCTCAGGTTTTCCCTCTCCTACTCTCTGTACGACTGCATTTGTCCTTGTCTCTCAGGTGTTTTATAATTGTATTAATATAATATAATTTGTATTCTGCTAGATGAGAACGTCGGTGGTCATACATGCTACTGTTAGTGTACAGGTACAACCATTACTGTTATATAAATATGGTCATATATATGAACAAACGTAATTGATTGTGGTAATTAAACTAAGTAGTATGTCCCATCACTAAATCAAGTCCATGACCAATCCAACACAATATATTATGTCCTCAAATTAGGTACAAGTAGCATTCTTGAATAAATATATCTACAATAAATATTTCAAATAGTGAATTTGTAATTTATTTTTGACTATGACTAATATATTAAGTGATGTATTTTGGACATGTGATTGATGGATGCCATTTGTTTACAATTTTTTTTTATGATTTTTTCAAAAAAATTAGGGTTTCTATACATCATTTTGAGTGTATCAGTCGATATTGTGCCACAACCAATATATCTTAGTACCCTCCAAATCAATGGTCAACACCTCGATGTTGAACCATGCATGGCAAAGATTGAATTACAGTTAATATTTCATCTGTCTGAAGAAGAATGAAAAGCATTAGATGCATGAGATGACCGCAGAATAAGAAGAAGATGATCGCAGGCTTTGCGTATTTGACATCAAACCAAAAAAGGAAAAATAACCTATAAGAAATGGCATTTCACTGTTCAGGGTATGAAAAAGTCTAGTGAACCAAAGTCATTCCAATACTTGAGTCAAAAATTACAAAAAAATGGTCTTGCACGTATCATTTTTCCACTTATAGAAACATGTCATAAGATACGTATCACCTTGGGTTCAACTCCAAACCCAAAATCAATCCCCCAATGAAGCCTTAGGTGGAACATCTAGCCTCCGCACCTAACTCACATCGTCGCAAGACACATGAGTATCATCCACAAATACATTGTGTTATGTGTCATATTGTACATACTTGTTAGGATGTTTTGAGGGTGTGATGCCTTAACGACATGTGTAAACTTGGTTATGTACATATGTTAATATCGGATTTTGGGCTTATGGGAATGGATTTGATTATCCTTGCTTAAGTGGTATCTAATTTGGTTTTTAAATTTTGGATGAATGGATATCAAGTTAGGTCTACCCACATCCTATCTCTTTCTCGGGATGGTCGCATATCGTATGTTACAAAGAAAAAATGATACAACTCACTGATGCATATCACTGATGCATATCACCAATGTTTGTCACTATACCGAAACATATTGTAAGATATCTATTGTGTATCTTAATTTACTTACAACTATGCTAACTCAAAAAAGCAACATCACATGAATTTGTATCCCACACAACAAGCAACAGTAGCTTAAACTGAGGAGTGAAAGCATACCAACAATTTTACAACCAACATATTAAAAACATGTTGGGACAAGAGTTTGTTGGTTATATTAAAAACGTCTAGCCATTAAAGGTGCTTGACTCTGGCAAAGTTGTGATCCACACAACAAAACCAATAGTTCAAGAATCAAATGAAATTTCCAACTAACCTTTAGGTGCATCACCATCCTCCTGCTCCCACACCAAGGTCTTTCCAGAAGATGAACAATCAGCATTCAGAACAACTTCTGCCTCCTCTTCGACGTTATCCTGAACTGCTAAAGATGTTGAGACAATTTCAGCTTCACCATTAGGTGGAAGTCTAGAATCTTCTGATATAGAGACATCCCTATCCCTGATGCACATTCAAGCAGCAAGACCAAAATTATTCAAAACTCAACTCTGAAACCAGTGGTTTTCTCATGGTAATACCTTTCACTCAAATCCAATTCATCAACTGGGTGATTAGAGCTCTCTGTCGTCCCAACTACAACAGTTCCATTTTCTTGGGTATTCAAATCGGACTTTAACTCCTGCTGAAAAACAAGATATACCAATAATCAGAAGATCGAGAAAAGCAACCAAACCCAATAAATGATACTTAACTTCATTAGACAATAACAGAACAAAATAGGTTAATATAGAAAATGCAAATTCTCATCCACCCGCACAAAGCTTTGGGAATCATTTCACTATGTTTCACATCTAGCATAAGACCAGAAAATGAATTTAGATCAATAAAAAAAGAAATACAATGACATTGACTGCAAACTTCCAAGTTTTGTTGGTTATCTTCTTTAATAAAATAAAAAGGGAAAAAAACCCAAGAAAGGTGAAATTAGTAATATTCAATTTATAAATTGTGGGGAAAAAAATTCATACTTCATCATGCATTCACACCCAATTTTCACGAAGTAATGACTAGATTAATTAAGTCAATGAGTTGTGTGTGTGGTTACTTCCAAAAAAAAAGTTGTGTTAAGAGAGAGAGAGAGAGAGTGGTGGAAAGAAAAGGGTCGATCAAGTGTGAAAACAAAAATTCAACCATGGAAAGTAGAAAATAAGCACAAGAATGGAGCAAAATATTGCATCGAGTAGTCCGGAGTTTGCTTTACACACTTTCACAGTTTGTCTTACCAGGGCTTTGAAGCCAATCATCTTCAAAATAATATAGTTCAATGGTTATCTTCTTTAACAAAAGAAAAGCCCAAATCAAAACTGAGAAAAGTAAAATTAGCAATATTCAGTTTATAAATGTTAAATAAAACAATTCAAACTTCATGATGCATTCACACCCAATTTTCCAGAAGTAATGACTGGATTAATTATGCCAATGAGTTGTAAGAGAGAGTTATGTGGTGGATAGAAAAGGGTTGATCAACTTGAAAACAAAAACTCAATCGTCGAAAGTAGAAAGGAATAGAAGCATAAGAAAGAAGGGAAATATTGCACCAAGTAGTCTTGAATTTGCTTTACACACTTTCACAGTTTGTCTTACCAGGGCTTTGAAGCCAATCATCTTCAAAATAATCTAGTTTGCTACAGCAATACACAATAAGGCAACATTGACATCAACTTTTTGTTACTGGATCTACATAAGAAATGCCTTGTCTATCACTTGCACTGGTGCCAATATCTTGGAAGTCAATTTCAAACGCAAACAAAACCTACCTCCACAAAAAGGGACTTTTAGATGACGGCTTCCTCTTGAAGTCCTTCAATGTGGACTTACCAAACACTCGACCTTTTCGTGAAAGGAGTTCCAAGCACCCGAGGGTGTTTTCCGGTCCTCAAGAAGCCCCTAAAGCCTAAAGACTACCTCAAATTATTTGATTGAACTAAGATGTTGGCGATACGTTGGCTGGATCTAAAGTTACTTTCGAGCATAAAATATGCTGATGCACTATCCCTCAATGCTGAATCGGGCAGACGGGGAAGACCTATTTCTATGAACCGGGAGACTAGATGGGATAAAAATGATGCCAGGAAGGAAAAGAAACAAAAGATGATCGTAGACAAACAAGGAAGGTAGGATCAATTTTGTAAAGAGAGTTTCATCTGCAAGGGTGGGAATAAGGCTTTCGTTGATTTAATTTGAGTAGAGTTTCATCTGCAAAGTGCTTGCTGCAAGAAAGGTTGAAACCTCAAAGGAAACTCCTACATGCATCATCAGCACTTCAAAATGTCTTGATCATGAGGGTAAGACTACACCACCACAAGTAATAAGTGTGATCAACCCCTTCAGTGGCCCTATAATGATCAAAATGACCTCAGATGACTAAAGCCAATCTTTCATCTAAGAAAAGCACTTCTGAAATGTAAAAAAGTTACATGGCATACTTTGCTTTCTTTTCCACCCCTTTCTGAAAGATACAAACAAAAGCCCCTATCGTCTATAGCTCAATGGACCTAATGATGTCCCTTCTTTGATGTGCTTTCTTTCAAATAATACTTCAATTTGCACTAAAAAAGGGGAAGAAAAATCAAATCATGGAGCCATGCCCCTCCAAATAATGATCAAATCTAAGCAAAAGGATCCACTTGCTCATTGTCGATAGATATGGCCAATAGATGCACCTTCCGGAATGCTCTCAATATGAGGGCATGCGATCTGGCTGCATTTGTATTTCATACACAACCAATGCACACTAAAATTCTTAGAATCCATTAGTTATTTTTTGATATCATTACAATAAGATCACTCATCCATATAGAGCAGTCTATCTGATTACCTTTCCTATTTAAGCAGTGATATAAATGTGCATAATAGGAGACGATCAAATGACAATATGTGCATGTGAACTTGTTAGTAAATTCCTGTGCACTACAGAGTGTTGGGAAAAAAAGGAAAAACATATTCCCAACTTCGTTCAATATTCATAACCAGCTATCAAAACCCATCACAGTTATAATAGAAGTTTCAACAAAGGAAAAAGGAAAAGAGAGACACATCATGAAAAACTAACAGAAAAATATTAATCAATATTATCATGGACTAATAATTTGGAGTATTTTCGAGCTAAAGGGACTATATGCCCAAGGATCAATGTTTCGTTTCTTTTCCACTGAAACAACCGAAAAATTATCGTCTCCATGGAAAGTTGGAAACCGAAACGAATGAGTGATTTGCCTATATTTCGAGGTGTTTAGGAATGTTTTGAGATGCTTCAACAAGTTTCGACCAATATTTTGAAAATAAATTTTGAAACTTCTTCTCTATTTCTATAATGTTTCCCAAATGTTTCCAAAACATTCATGTTTTCATACTAACTAAAATTATGCACCGAAACAAAAGTTTGATTTGTGAATTTGCCATTTCATCATCATTAGTAAGCCATTTGAAGCACCTGATTATCCATGATTGCTTTAGCCTCATTACCATGCTGCAACCAACCCTCATTAATGAGCTTGAAAGCTTCATCACGGAACAGGAACGATGTAAAGAAGAACTGCCAAAACAGAAGGCACATTTAGAGACAGCAGCAGATATTGTCACCCCTTCAACAATAATACAAAATTCATGCTTCTCTTTAAGAATCATCCTCTAAATGCATAATACTATGACAAATGACAATATAGATTCACTTTAGTACCTTCTTTCCTCCAGCCATAATTTCTATGGCAGTAGGGAATATGGCCGCTGCTTTCGCCCTTCGTACAGCTGTGATTTCTTGAAATAGGATTATTTTCTGAATTGTGAATCGGTGAGGTTCCAAGACAAGACCACAATAGAAATAGAAAAATTAATGGAAAGAAATTAACCGCTCAAGCACTCAAACTAAATAATACTATCATTTCACAATATGAAGGAAATCAATATCAAGCTATTGCAAACATGCCTTAAACTGTTCAACAAAGATCTAATATGAAGTATTTCCACCAAACTTCTTCCTATTCCAAATAACTAATAACATAAATTTCTCACACAAAAAACTCCCTTCAGATATAAAACAGTATAGGCGAGTATCATGTTCCTACTCTCCTCAAGCAGTGACGTGGCTGTCATGTGACCCTCCAAGCAGAGAGTAGGACCAAGATAAAGAATTTGGAAAAGGTCTCCAATGTTTCTACTCTTTGGAAAACAAAAGGAAAAATATTGCCATAGTCCCCATAAAAATATCCTAGCAAACAAATTTTAATAATATTTTACATCTTACTTCAAAGCATAAGAGGCAATGTAGAATCGAACTTATCTAAATACCACTTTCAACCTAGTTGCAGCAATCGAACAGCAAATGTAAGCCCTTTTTGTGGCATCATCGATTACTAGAAACAATTTTTTCTCCCAACATACTCTCGCAAGATAGAATCCTAAGGAATGTTTGTTTGCCCATCACAGAACAGAACCATTGTCCTCCTCAATATACTACCTAAAATTCCAGAAAATTTCCGGCCACATTCACAATCAAAGACAGTAGATTTCATTGCTAAAGAAATTTCCTCCAAAAAGACCTCATTTCCTAGGATTCCCATAAGTAGTTCTTCATACTACTATCCATCACAGTATCACCCTTCTCCTTTGAGACTTTGTAACCGCTTAGTGCATCTTCTTGTTAGCTTACTGTCCTAAACTACAATCAATGAGAAAATCCAGAATAATCTCACAACACAAATAGAGAGAGAGAGAGAGAGAGAGAGAGAGAATGAAGATATTACATTAAACTAGTAATATTAGGACTTCAGCAGCAACAAATTTTTGTGCAAGCTAGAACAAAATTCAATTTATAAAAATAAGGAAGATAAGTTCACCATCAAACCTTTGTCTCATATCCAAAGAGGTTGGAGTAAAAGCAAATGTAATGAACAAACAGGTACATGTGACCCTGCAGCAAGGATATATCAATAAGAACTTGGCAATAATTAGTGTCATCAAAGAAGAAAAATAACAAAGAAAGCAGATCATATCATAATTCTACAAAAGAAACTAGTAGAAGGGTCGCAGGATATGCAGCATACACACCCAAATATCAAGAGAAGAGTAATCAACCAACTCAAAATGTCATAAAGATCAAAATTACCTGAAGAAGAAAACTCTCTTGCAATGCACAGTTGAAATCTTGAATAAGGACCTACATACATAGATAAAGGGGCAAAACTAAACATGTGTATCAAAAACAACAGAACAAAATGACCAGAATCCTTAAGTTTTGCACATAAAGAGAGATGGGAATGCATAGATTTCTACGAAAATTTCAAAAAATATTACATATGAAAATACACAATAAACAACATACGACTAGTACACACAAAAAGGGCAAGAAAAAAGGCATATCCCCTGTAAATGGAAAATTTGAAATGCAACTTTGACACTTCTAAACCACAAAAATCAAGCATTGTTTAGGTTACTTTCACTCCATATTGAAAAAAAAAAAATAACGATAGACAAATGAACCTCATTAAAACAGCAGGACCACAACATATCAATCACAGTAATCTAATTTTTTTTTATTTTTTTAGAAAGTCGCAGCATCCTAACATATCCCAATCAAAAGAATACTGAATAAGAAAATTTTACCTACTTTAAGCATTTGTTCACAAGTTACTGACGCTAAGGTGAAATTAAAAGCAGGGTACATTTCCTCTGTCTGATATTTCATCACCCAAAAGAAAAAGTAGTAGATCTCCTGATAATAGACTGCATATCATTTTTTTTTTTTTAATTAAAGATATGGTCATGTGTGCATTTTATATGTCTCCTTTTCACACACACAGAAAGCAAGAACATTGTAGAAACAAGAAAGGCTAGTTTTTGCAACAATTAACTTATCATACTTGTGCGAGGAGAAAAAAAAAATATCTTTGTGTCAATGGTTTGGAAATTTAATCATCTCCAATTTCCAAATTAGTATTAAAGCATCTTGAATTCTATTTTTTCAATGTGTTCTAGTTTTATTTGGCCACCAAGTTATCTTGGTCTCCCTGTTACAGAACCCTATATATATTGTTGTACTGCTGTATTGGGACAGTCAATGAAGATACCCGGGCTTCTGATGCATTACACATCTTCTATAGGTTATTTGCAGCCAATGAACAATGCAAGCTTATAGTGGGATCGACTCCTAAGGAATTCAAGGTGGAATTTCTTAGTTCTTATTCTTCTCCTCCTTTTCCTTCTCCTTTTTTTTTTATCATGAATTCAGCCTCTACCCATTCTCTACCTTTGGCCAATATTTAACATTAAAATTCCAAATTATGTGTTGTCTATCAATAAACCCTAAAGCCTATAACCACTCTTCCACCTGTTGTAGGCAGCACATCCTGAAGTGTTTTGATAGTTGGCCAGCATCAGATACAAGTCAAGATAAAAGCAGGTGGTTAAATAACACCTATGATTGCTAGCCTCGAGAAACTGCACGTTCTGTTTCATCTTGTAATGTTGGGTCTTAGAGAGCTAGAGCTTAGTTACATGATCTAGAGGAAATATAAAACAGATAATCAATTAGAAAATTCTAAAGAAAGGAGGGGGCATGAGGAAGAAAGGTATGAGGTGAAACAATGTTACACATAATACTAAGACAAATGAGTCGCAATAGCTTCACGTATGATATAACAACAGGTAATCTTACTTATCTGTAAAAGAATAATGATCACTAATCTTAACAAACTATCATAAATCAAACCAAGTTGAAATAATTAGGACTAAGTATGGTAGAAGCATTATGAAATAGCAAAAGTTAACAGAAGGGATGACTAGAAGTGTGGTGCAGACATTTTGAATTGACCAGTACACCTGTCTCAAAGATGAAAAATGTGACAAGGGGAATACCAAAGTTAGTAGCAAATATACAAACAATTACACGGGCCGAAGTGAAGAAGTCTGTGTTTCCATAATCTCATCACTAAAACTTAATCATGTTAATAACAAATTGTTAAACTTGAATGAAACAGTAATTTTCAATATTATTTATTGAGCACAATCAAATAGTGAATAATATTAAGATTTTCTTTCAATAAAGGACCCAAATAAGCACTGAACAGAGGCACAGCAGTAGCTGCACAAAAAACAGCAAGAACTATTCCCATTTTCCTTTGTCTTTTCTTTATTTTTCCCTTTCCTTTTGGTAGGGGTTGGAGGTCGGTCCGAATAGTTCAACATCAACTAATAACAATGTAGGACACTTAAAATATCAATTTATCCGATTCTTAGGAGGATGAGGTTAATTTCAGAAAATAATGATAAAACACACATAACTACCAACTCCAAAGACAAACAAGAAAAACCCTAAAAATCACTCACTTCCTCAGGTGGGAGACGAAACAGCTGGCGATACTCTTCACTCCTCAAGGATTGTGGAGTCTGTATCAAACAATTCACAATCACCAAAAAAGAAATATATTATCTACAACACCACAAAAACAAAAATTAAAATTAAAATTCTACCTAAATAATCCTAGTACCACAACTATTTCTCTGAGTTGAGAACATAAAAATCAACGTTCAAACATAATGAATTAACGTTCAAGTTTCTTGTCGGTTCTTGCACTTTCTTGGCAACCAAACGGAAGCACAATTTAGAATAAATTTGAAGAACAATCAATGGGACTATCGATCGTTCAAGTTTCTTTTCGGTTCCCACATTTTCTCAGCAACCACACGGAAGTGCAATTCAAAGAAAATTGAAAGTACAATCAATCAAGAACACAAAATCGATGGAACCACTGGTTTTTCAAGTTTATTGTCGGTTCTTGCATTTTCTTAGTACAACCAATGAAAAACACCAAAAAACGGAGGAACTATTGGTTGTTCAAGTTTGTTATCGAATCTAATGAATCAAAAACACAAAAATCGATGGAATTATTAGTTATACCTGACTTTCAAGTAGTCTGGGTGGGCTTGGGGAAGAGTTGGAACGATCAAGAGAGGGACGATCGGATGGATCAACGGTCGATGAGGGTCCAGCAGAAGACGAGTCGGAGGCGGCGTCGGAGACTCGTCTTGAAGATGAATCGTCCATTGATTCAATTTTCTCCGAGTTCGCAGACGCCACCGCCATAGGAGAGAGAGAGAGAGACGATGGTAGCTGATCAGTCCAAAGACAGTGGACAGGTAGATAAAGAGATGCAGAGAAAGAAGGGCTGTGTAAGAGAGAGAGAGAGAGACGTGGCTTACTATGGTGGTTGGGGTTTACGGTTTTGAGTGTGTGTCGGTTGGATCGGCTTCCGAAGCGGCAAACGGAAGAAAACAAAGTCTATACTCTTTTAGGAACGTTGATCACATCACATGTCCACTTGGCATCGTTTTCTTGATTTTTCTTTTTTGGAAAATTACACTTAGACCCTGTAAACTATACCCTCTATTTTAGATTATCCACTAAACTACTTATTTTCACAAGTTCTACCTTAAATTATTGATTTGAATTTTACATTAACCTAAATTATTATTATTTTTTAAAATTTTTTACTACAAAACATAGCAAAAATTGGATCCAACAATGCTCGAAGATATGGTTTCTCGTAATCAGCTGAGTGAAATTCTATTTTTGTTTCTTGATTTGGAATGAAACATTGAACAGAAATCAACGAATATAGAAAAGTGAAACTAAAATCGACAATTGAAAAAGGTAATAATTTAGGGACAATGTGAAATAAGGTATAATTTGGAGGGTCTAAATATAATTTTTTCTTTCTTTTTCTTGAAGAATTACAAGTTTTGGTATCGCTTTCTTGATTTTCATTTTGTTAGTAATTGCAATTTACAAATGGCCCGATTTTGTGCTACATAACAAAAACCTCCCTTGTAGTTCCAGAAAGTAAAAACCTTCCCTATAGTTAGGCTTAATAACAGGGATATTCCCCTTGAGCTTGTCAAACAACTTTCAATTGTTCATCTTTACCTTTCAAAAAAGTACATTTTCATTGAGCTCAAACTAGGTAACAAAAAGTTGTTTTTCAATATTATATAGAGATCTTTCAAACAAAAAATAATAATTATTATATGGAGAATAAATTTTAATCATTGATGTGGGCATATGTTGATTGCATTTGGGTTTTCCAGTGTGTCAGATATTAGTGGGTTCATATCAAAAAATATATTTATTTATATCTGATTCGTTTATTTATTTGTGTTTAACTAATCGTATCATATTGAATTTGTGTTGCATATAAATTGTGTATAAACGAGTTGTGCCATTTATTTTTTTTATTGACATCACCCGTTCTTGATTTGTTTATTAATCGGATCGTGTATGACTCACTTATTTACAAAAATCAGTAGTTTGAGGAAGACTCAAATTCTCTAATCTTGTATCATGTTAACGAGTCATGTCATATTTTTGATACCCCTAATTGCATTTATTAAAATTTCAATGTTTGATCATATTAAAATTTAATTATAGTTAATTTTCTCAAATTATTTCTAAATTGGGAAAATTTGATTCACACTTCCTATAATTAGTTATAAATTTAATGAAACTCCCTTCCGATTCTGAAACTTCATTGTCACCCCCTATCAATATTTGTTGGATTACGGCGCTAACGGCGATTGTTAATTTACAAAAAAACCCTTGAATATTTTATCGGATAAATTTTATCCACATTCATTTTAAATAGACATAACTTCAACGGCGCTCCTTGTAAATAGACTTATTTTTAACAATGTTCAATCATTTATTCTGAAATTTCAATGCACTCCCTTTTTGTTATATTATATTAACCTTTAGATTCATCAATGTAATATTTAATTTTATCAAACTAATGTCATTTATTTAGTTTAAACTAAACTAACATTTCATCTTATCAAATCAACACAAAATTAATATTTATTTTTATCAAATTGACATTTAGGTATATTAATTTAATATTTTATTTCATCAAATTAATATTATTTATTTAATTTAACATTAAATTATTATTTAATTTCATCAAATTAATACCAATTTAACATTTAATTTTATTATATTAAATTTTAGTATGTTAAATAGAATATTAAATTATATTAATTTAACATTTAACCTTATCAAATTAATGTCAGTTATTTAATTTAACACCAAATGAACATTCAATTTAATTAAAGTAGCATTTAAATTTATTTATTTAACATTAAATTTGATCAAATCAGCACTGAATTAATGTTTAATTTTGTCAAATTAAAACCAAAATAATATTTAAATATATTAAGACCAATTTTATTTAATTAATATTAAATTTTATCAAATAATATTTAAATTTTATATAAGAAAGTGATGTATGAAAAAGTTGTCAGGTGACGTTGTAGAGAACATACGATAGCAGATAAGTTAGAAATAGATGAAATTTTAACATTGAGGGCATTTTAGTATATTAACATAAGGAATTGTAGTTTTGACATTTTCATAAGATTTATAGTCAAACCCGTAATTTTTTATATGAACAGAGTTAACAATTACCGTTAAGGGGGTGTCTTTGATTTTAAAGTATAAAACATAACAGGATGCAGAGAAGTTTCAAAATCAAGAGGGGTTCTAATTGAATTTAAATCTTATTAGAGGGGGTGTGAATGAAATTTTTCCCTTTAAATTTCAACAAAACTTAAAAAAAAACACTACATTAAAACATATTTTTCTATGAATTTTAGATCCGATAATAATAACCAAATTGGCTTTTGATAAATTAAAATGTTGATCCACAAAAACTCATGTAACAAATTCAATTCTAGATTTGAATTATTGGCCAAAAAATTGAAACATATCTATTTAATCGAATTCGAATTTTGATTATAAACAGACCTACTGGGAGTGTGGGTTGGTTTCCTGGCCAACAGGGGCCGTGATGTGAATCATAAATGGCCAGCCCATTTTAGAAAAGGCCCACTATAGTTGGGTCATCCTTAAAACTTGGTATCCAATAACCAACCCAAACTTCATACGCATCTCTCTCGTTGATCAAATCACATTTAATTCAAATAAAACTCTAAAATATTCAATGCTCGAATAAAGATTTCATGTATTTGATTGAATTTAGGTAAAGAAATTTAATCAATGAATTTTAATTCAAACAGAATTTGAATTTCCACCAGTTTTTATAACCATGGAGCCAAAGTCGAGTTGATATATATTTGAAATGAAAAATTAATGTTGAGAATTAGAAGTGAATTTTAACTCAGATTGTTTAATTCAAATTTAACTGTACATTTTTAAATTTAAATATACATAATATTTGGGTAAAAAAATTAAATTATATTCAATTTAAAGAGTTAATACTTTTTTCTCTCTCTCTTTTTTTTTTTTTTGATTTAACGATCAAGGGTGTATGGACAATTTACGCGCACTTTGAATAATCTCTGTCTCAGTTCAGTTAAAAACAGATCATCCACGCTGAGACTAGAATATTCATAAAATATAAATCATTCATGACCTGACTTCAAGAAGTTGTCAACATTTAAACTCACGACGTTTAAATTTACAGAGTTGATACTTAAGACCGAATAAAATTTGACATTTTAGCTCATTTGAGTTATAATATAACGGCATCAGTGATACATTATATCTCTAATCACTAACAATATATCATGTATATTTTTATTGAATGATGATATCACGTGTCAGGTGTTGAATTTATAAGCAAATTAAAAAAAATTCCATCCCAAAAAAAAAAAAAAGAGAAAAACACCTCTAAAAGAAAGTTTTTGGTGTCCCAAAATCATGTGAGAAATGGATATCATAAAGAACCCACATTTGAATGCAATTTCTTTTGCTAATTCCAATACTTTCTCGCTCCTAATTTTCAGACCTCTGGTTGCCCTTTTCAAAAAGTAAAGATGGGTTGAACACCTTTCTTTTGAAAAATGTGGGTGAGGCTAAATTAATCAGTGGTAAAATATTGAGCTAATCATTTTAATCATTATTTGTATATCTTTCATGTAATTGGTGACCCCACATGCCAATTTGTCTAATTGATCATGGCCGTCAATAGTAAAAGTTAAAAGAATCATGAATCGCATCATCCATCCATTGTACTTTTTTCTGGCTTAATGGTATTTAGAGTATATGCATTTTGACAATTTAATTTTTAATGTATGATTTTTTTAAAATTTGATACCTAAAATATTTAATACTTATATAAATGGTTCTTAACTAGATAGCCTGTTAAATTATTTAACAAAAATAATCACATGTCATCTTTTCAGATAGTATCACTTGAAAGGAGTGTCAATCGTGTCGTGTTCGTGTGACCCGCACGTTGTGTTATTCGTGTCATGTTTATTGTTATTGGTATCGTGTTCGTGTCAAAATCCACGAAAAAATATTTATTTAGTATATTATGAGTGTTAAACATTAGTTTAAACTATTTATCGTGCGTATTTAATAATCGTGTCAATTTTATAATCATTCGTGGCGAGTTTGTGTCAACGGGTTAGAATTGACACCCCTACATGAGACCAACACATAATCAATTCCGTAAAAAACTAAATAGTCCATCTGTATAGAGATTATTTAAACAAATACTCTAGAAATCAAAATATCAAAAATAATATAATTAAGACTAATCTGATAAAATAAATATATTTTAAGGACTAAAAATATTATTAACATTTTTTTTAAATCGTTGTATTGGGGTTGCTTAGGGCAACTACACAATGGATTTGCGTCATGTGGATTCATATAATGTATAACTTATATATATTTCATTTCATGTCATCTATAATAAAATTTGTATTAATTTATTTATTAAGCAGGTTTGACAAATCAATTAATCTATAATCAAAACTCGCTAAAGCTAGAATTGTATCTAGTTATTTTTTATATGAATATTATGTTGAATTGACAACTTACATTGAGAATTATCAACGAGTGCACGATGAGTTACGGTTTTAGTATTGGACATAAAAAGGTTTTATAACAAGTTGGTCATGCCAAAGCAAAATAATAATAGACAATAAGCACAAAATGTTAGATAAATTGAGTTTCAAATGACGAGAAGTCTTGCAATCAAGCCAGAAGTCCTGGTTTTATCGCAGAATTGCCAAAAAATGACTCTTCGCTACTTTGTCAAATATTTCAAACATATCCGAGTCTATTTGACGTCGAGTAAGATACATAATTTTACAAAACACTTGTATGAATCTCAAATTTAAAAAAAAATGTTGGTTCGAATATGACTCATCAAATGCATAAATTATTTTTATTTAATTTATGTAAATTTTAATTAATTATTTTCTTGAACCGATCAAAAACATGATTTATCTTGAAAGTTGGATAGACAACCTCACCCATGACCCACCCACCTCCAGCAACATTGGCTATCACTGGTTCCTCCATAATTCAAGCTCAGAGGCAGACTCCAGTGCCTGTACTGTAGACAACCAAACTTTTATTAGCCACTTGGACACTTCCTAAAAGTCTCATCACAGACAATGGCTGTGTCCTCCATGAGGACCATGACAAGAGGCAAGTGGCTACAGAGCTGGTTCACCCAGGTGAGTGAAGAACCCAGTAAATATTTAATGTAACGGCCACGTTATATTATTATTAGATCAATTAACGAATTGAATTTTAATTTATTTAATTGAATATATAAGAATTCCTATTCATTTTTTATTCCAAATTGAATCCAATAAGACTCTTCTTTATTCAGTGTTTTTTATTTTGTTTTAATCAATCAAATTGATAGATGGAGATTAGACCGAAATAGTAAAGGTAGACAAAAAGGCCGAGGGTAGATGGGACGTTGATTACCCGACAATCCAGTCCCCACACGAAAGGACCATGGATAATCCGTTAACCTAATGCATAGGACATCAAGTGTTTGAACTTTTAGGGCCGAATGGCCTGATTGGCGGTCCAAATTTTAACCTGTTGGGTTTGATTCGTTTAAGTTTAATTCGTTTTTTAAATATGTTTGAATTTAAATAATTTTTTAAAGTTATTTTAAAAAACGAGTTTGATAAATTTAGCTCAAACTCTGTTCTACTTGTTTATATCGAAATATTTGAACTTGACTTAAGTTTGATTCTTTCAAGTTAATCAGCCTAACTTAAACAATTTTTTATATTTGATTAACAAAAATAAGTTTTTTAAGGTTCAACTCACTCGAACTCCATCGACTCTCTCTAACAGTCTTATTTCAAGGCAATGTCCAAAAGACCCGATCCGTGACCAACCCACCTCGTAGACCGGATTTTGAGAGAGAGTCAGGTGTTTGAACAGACGTGCAGTCCAAAGAGGGAACAGAGATGGGTCCCATGTCTGGGCAATTACCATCGGTGAATTAGAAAGAAGCGGCAGTGGGCCCACTCATTCACCACACCAATCAATCCTCCTGCCGCCCCTCTCTCTTCCTCTCTCTCTCTCTCTCACACACACACCCCACCAACCTACAAACACATTTTCTCCCCCCCTCTCTCTCTCCCTCTCTAAAACACACACTCTCACATTTTCTCTCTCCAAATTACACAGAGAGACATCAATAACCATACGAAATAAAGTGCACCGAAACCACGAAAGAGGAGGAAAAAAAAAAAGAAAGCAAAAGCTACTACTCCTAAGTAGTTGAATCAGCAGTGACAATCAGCCAACAATGTGCCTCTACTTTTGCAGACTTTGCATAAATCTCTACAGAGAGAGAGAGAGAAGGTGACAAAAGAATAGAAGTAGTCTACACAGCAATTCACCATTCAATTCAATATTCCTGAAGCTCTTAAAGAGCTAGAGGGAGGGAGAAAGAGAGAGGAAGAAGCTCTAGCTTAGCTGAACAATTTGATCAAGCTCTGGAAGAGAAAACCCTAGATCCAGATTCGTCCGTACTGGTTCGTATATCACTGGTGAATGTCCTTCCAATTCTCTTTGCCTCCTTTTCTTTGTACCTGGGGGAGGGGGGGGGGGGACGCACTTCCATTTGCATATACTTTCGAATATCTATACGTGTGAATGCTTAATGTGTACTGTGCTGAGAGGGTACAGGGGAATTTGGCATTTTGCTTTTGGGCAGATGTGAGTTTTGCTTTTTGTTTTTTTTTTATTAAATGTTTTATGTTATGTTCTTGTTTCTTGTGGACTATTTTATGATTTTTTTTGTCTTTCTCACTTGATTGTGAGTTAAGTTAGGTATTTCTGGTTATGCTCATTGAATTATTGGCTTGATCTGTTGAATTTGTGGATGTTTGTATGTGTATGGGTTTGATTCTCATGAGCTTTTGGAGGTTTTATGTGATTATACCCATGAGTGAGCTAACTTAGTACTGCTTTACTAATCTGAACCTATCATAGCTTACAAACATATGCAGTTTATATAAAGCTACATGAACAACTTTCTTGCATACGGGAAAGTAAGTTGCAAATTGAAACTTAATAGATATTAATTTTCCTATTTTCGTTCATATCTTCTAATTTCTGTTGCAACCGAATGGGGTATTTAGCAGTTGACTGTTGCACGAAATATAAAATTGTTATCATGTTCTTTTTTCTTTGCCAATTTATGTTCCTTGGTTTTTTGATTCCTGCATTTTACGTAGATCAATCTGCCAATCTTTAGAAGCACAACCTTTTATCTTGCAAAGATTTTAGAGTGATTGCATTGTGCAGCATATCAGGAAGGTTAAAGCTCTACTGAATGAAATGTAGTAAGGCTAGAGTTGGTTAAACTTGTACGATACTTGTTATTTGTAGCCATTATGAAAGTTTCCATTAGAGGAAACAAAAAGAGAAAAAGCTTAAGGGCTCAATTATTGAATTAAATTTCTTACAACTTACAGGTTGTTTTACTGGAATAATTCCATGTAGTGCTCCACTGTATTAAGGAATGGAAAGTGTTCCTGAATTAAAAATGCATCCCAGCAAGTTATCTCTGGTGGGTAAGGTGTCGATTGCAGACAGGACTTTTCCAAGAGGAGATACAGGTAGATCGGATGCACGGGAGGATTTGGACTCATCTGCAATAGTAAGAACATGGATGGGAGCACCAGTTAGAACAGGGAAGGGAAAAGACTCTATCCTGGAACATGAGGAATTTATGCCTCAGGTTGTTCCTTGTAAAGGCAGTGGTGATTCATTTGAAGATATTGGCTCAATTTCATTCTCTGGGGCTAGTCATCCCCTGGAACCGGTTGATGAAGATCTGATGAGACCAGTGTATGTACCTATTGGTCAGGACAAAGCTGACAGTAAATGCTTAGCGAAGGGAATGTCTATGAAGGGTCCGTTTATAGAAGATCTTTCTATTCAGCTTCCTGGTTTCAAACCAAGCCCATCTACTCTTTCCCCATCAGAAAGTTTGGTTGAAGTGCCAAATGACATAGCAGCAACTTCTCCCCTGTTTTTGGTTCCCCGCCCATCACAAAATACAGAAAACAGTCTCCTCCCCCCAGATTCTGAGGAGAAGGAATGCATTTGGGATGCTTCTTTGCCTCCAAGTGGCAATGTAAGTCCACACAGCAGCATCGATAGCACTGGGGTTGTCACTGCTATGAGCATTGCCAATAGTTGCACCACAAGTACATGTCGAAGCGATGGGGTTATGAGTGATGGTATGCTTAGCATGGACAGGAATTATGAAAGTACAAAAGGGAGCCGTCGAGGGGATTCCGTTGAGAGTGCAAAAACTAGCATTAGCAGACTAAGTGATAGCAGTGGCCTTAGTGATGATAGTAATTGGAGTAACCTTACAGGGAGTGCTAATAAGCCTCACAAAGGAAATGATCCTAGGTGGAAGGCTATTCTTGCCATCCGAGCACGGGATGGCATTTTGGGCATGAGTCATTTCAAGTTACTCAGACTGCTAGGTTCTGGTGATATTGGTAGTGTGTATCTCTCAGAGCTGAGTGGGACCCGATGTTATTTTGCAATGAAAGTGATGGACAAAGCATCCCTTGCAATCCGGAAGAAATTGACCCGGGCTCAGAGAGAGAGAGAGATCTTGCAGTTGCTGGACCATCCATTCTTGCCGACCTTGTACACTCATTTTGAAACAGACAGATTTTCATGTCTGGTGATGGAATATTGTCCAGGAGGTGATCTGCACACCCTGAGGCAACGGCAGCCTGGGAAACATTTTTCAGAGTATGCAGCACGGTACGGTCTTAGTGCTAATAGTGTTCTGTGCTATTGCCATAATTTGCTCTTAATTTTAGTCATCACAACCTTAACTTAGAATTAATATTGATTTCCTTTTGTATCGACATTTTTTTGTGTATTATTTGTGCTATGTCTCATTGGTCTAGCCATCACATATATATGTATTTTGTAGATGTTCTTTGCACTATAACATTGATGCTTGCATCAATTCCTATGTAGGTAAATGAATGACTTTTTTTGCTGCCCTATTGATTAGTTGTTTTAAAGAATATGTCCTTTGCTTAACATTTTCTGGCAAGCAAACATAACCATCACACAACCACATGCATCCAGGTTTTATGCTGCTGAGGTTCTGTTAGCACTTGAGTATCTCCATATGCTGGGAGTTGTGTACAGGGACTTGAAACCTGAAAATGTTCTGGTACGTGATGACGGCCACATAATGCTATCAGATTTTGACCTGTCACTTAGATGTGCAGTGTCACCCACCCTCATAAAAACCTCCTCATTTGATATTGATCCTTCCAAGAGAGGAACTGGTGGTGCATTCTGTGTCCAGCCTGCCTGTGTTGAGCCTTCAGCAGTATGCATCCAACCAGCGTGTTTCCTTCCTCGAATCTTCCCTCGAAAGAGCAAAAAAAATGATCAAAAACACCGAGCTGAGCCTGGGTTGCTAGCCAGCACACTCCCTGAGCTTGTTGCAGAGCCTACTGCAGCTCGGTCCATGTCCTTTGTTGGAACCCATGAATACTTGGCCCCCGAAATTATAAAGGGGGAAGGCCATGGCAGTGCAGTTGATTGGTGGACATTTGGCATTTTCTTGTATGAATTACTGTATGGTAAAACCCCTTTCAAGGGGTCTGGAAATCGTGCTACACTGTTCAACGTGGTAGGGCAGCAACTCAGATTCCCAGACTCGCCCGCAACCAGTTATGCTAGCCGGGATCTGATCCGTGGCTTGCTTGTAAAGGAACCACAACACCGGCTTGGGGTCAAGAGGGGAGCAACTGAAATCAAGCAGCACCCATTTTTTGAAGGTGTAAATTGGGCTCTTATACGGTGCAGCACACCACCAGAAGTTCCAAGACCGGTAGAACCTGAGCTTCCTGGAAAGTTTGGAGCAGTTGACGTTGTTGGAATTTGCAGCAACAGTAAAAGGGTGGTTGGGACAGACATGAAGTCCGGAGGTAACTTTCTGGACTTCGAGTTCTTTTAGTTTAGAATTATAGGATACTTGGCCTATGTTGTATTAGTGTCATTAGTTAATTCCATGGGAGTTTTCCTGCATTATCCTGTTTCTTGTTGAATATCAAACAAACTACCTCATAAAAGAAAAATCTCAGTGCACTGAAAAACTATCACCTTTAAATTCTTAGTTTCCAGATGGGTGGGTTGTCCCTATGGCTTCAAAATTAGGATCAACTTGGATAAATATATAGCCAATGTTTTCTACTAGAGAACTTCTGTATAACTGTAACATTGTATATGGTTGGTATCTGTGTTAACACAGCATATAATTTGATGATGCAATCATGCAACATAGAGGGCATGAGATTTTGTTGTCCTTTAATAACCATAGGGAGAATGCCATTTTATTTTATCTTATTCTATTTTTTTTTGGGGGGTTCTGGTTCTCATTGCTATTTCTTTGCCCCATAGTAGACGATGTTAACAATTCTGATTGCTATAAAATGTTTCTCAGTGGAATAAGTTGTAAGAACATCATTACATGGGGAGGAAATAGGAATTGGTGAATTTCTTACCTAAATGATGGAATTGGTAAGGGTTGCCCATGCTTATTTGGCTGACTCGCGACTTCGATTTTACCTATCTATATGAAGGCAGAAGTTTAATATGCAAATATTTCTTAGTTCTAAGTGCAATAATTTTAGATTGAAAACATAGAAACAATGTGTGTTCGATATATATATATATATATATATATATTTTTTTTATTTTATTTATAGTAATAGTTATTGTCTGTACCTGAAGGCACAGAATAATAAAAAATGGTAAACAATAAACATATTTGTATTTATATCCAAAATTAAATCACAAACATAGAGAATAAAGAAACAAATTTAAGCATTAGTTTGTAGTGGGGGTGAGAGGTGGTGAGCGACAGTGGTGGTGGTGGTGGGTGGCAGTGATGGTTGTGGTGGGTGACAATGACTGTGGTGGCGGTGGTGGTAGCGGCAACAACAACGATGGTGGTGGTGATGGTGACGGCAGCGGTGGTGGTGATAGTGGCGGCAGTGGCAATGGTGGTGGTGGTGGCGGCGGCGACGATGGTGATGGTGGGGTGACGGCGGTAGCGGTGGCGACGACGGTGACGGTGACGATGGTGATGGCGGGGCGATGGTGGTAGCAGCAACAGTTGTTGTGGTGGCGGTGACAAAGGTGATGGTAGCGGCGGCAGTGATGGCAACGATGGTGGTGATGATGACGACGGCTGCGGTGGTGGTAGTGGCGGTGGTGGAGACGACGGTGATGGTGGCGGTAGCGGTGGTTGTGGTAGTGGCGGCGGCGGCGGCAGTTGTGACGGTGGTGGTGATAGCGGTGGTGGTGGTGGTGATAGCGGTGGTGGAGCGGTTTCAAATATTATTTTTTTATTTAAAGTATTTATGAAAAATAGTTTTTAAAAGTACTTTTGAAAAATAACTCTAAACACACTCTTAGAGACTTATTTTTTCTATTAAATTTAGGGTGGTAATATTAGTCGTTAGATTAATTTTAAAGTAAAATTTAAAGTGATCTCAACCGCGAATAGTAAAAGTAATTTTATTAATTTTTTGAAATTTAAATTATAAGTTACTTTATTATATAAATTGTTTTACAGTGTTTTTGTTTGATTTTTCCTTTTTTCTCGTATTTACTCCCAAATTTTATCGCACATATAGATAGTAGTACACGTTTGCACATATAAAAGTGTATTATTTACATAATAAGATGTTTAAATAGTAATTCAACATGTTTTTAGTTAATGACTGCATTGTTTTGAATTCCTCCCCCCACTGTTTTGAATTCCTCCCCCCACGGGTTCAAATCTCACGCTATAAGTATTTTCTCCTCCACCTATGATGTAATGCTTCTGGCCAAAAAAAAAAGGGAAACATTGGTAGAATGTACATTTCATGGCTACGATAGGTGGGGGTGTTTATGGGCCGTGTTACCCGGCCATGAAAAAAATAGGCTAGGTAGTTGGTCCGGTCGAACTTAATATCCTTAAAAAGAGTTTGGGTTTGTCTCAAAACTAATTACTCGGCCCGAAGTTCAGCCAAATAGTTTGCCCAAAAAAATCCATTAAAACCCGACCCAAGAGCCCGGCCACCCTTCATGTGGAAAAAAGTAATGCTTTTAAAGCAGTAAATTTGAAACTTTGAAATAAGTCTTTCGATATCAAATTTTGAAGTTTTAAAAATTTAGATTTTATAAATAATGTATTATTTTCTTTTCTATGTATTAAACATACAAGTTTTAAAGGATAGAGTAATGCAATTGATAGATAAGTGAATATGTGTTAACCTAGTTGGAATGCATTCATTCTATTAAATGTAGTTCATCCCCTAATCAAAAATTAAATTATTCAACGATCAAGGGGTGTTTGGTTCAATTTTTGCGCACTTTGATTAATTTCTTCTTTGATTTAGTCAAAATAGATCATTTATGTCGAATAAATTTTTCATGACATGGTACTAAAGAGTTATTAAAATTCAAAATTTTTTTTTGTTCAAAACTAAAATTTGAATTCAAGACATCTGAATTAACAATTTGTCTCTATTACCACTGAGCTATTTTTTTGGAGTTGACAAGGGGATTAGCCTCCCATTCAATAATGAACTAATGTGTGTGTGGTCTCCAATATTTTGGGCCTTGTTTTTGTAAAATGCATAACATACCATCTGTGATATTTGATGAGTTCCCATTCTTTTTCTACTTTTTTGCACTTCTTAATTCCAATTCTTCCACACACACACACACACACACAAAATATCATAAAACAAAAGAGAAACAAAGACATATGGAGTCACTTATAAAAATAATGTTGTGCACACCACCTATGTCCACCACCTCACTCAACACTACCTCACTACCCGACATGACATAATCACGATCATTGAATATTTGACAAATTTTAGGAGACTTATTAATCTAATAGTGTATATTGAAGTGGCGTGTATAAAAAAATGATGTAAGAAGGTGATATGTGTAGTATTTTTGCATGGATAAATGGTTTGAGGTCCACTAACTTTTATTATGATTGGTTGGTCCCCTCCACCTCTCTCTCCTGATTCAATTTCTATTCTGCAATTATTATTGCTACTTGCAAGAGGCCTTGAGATGCCATCTTTTTGACTTTTATGGTATTGTCGTAACAATAACTTGTCAGATAAATAAAGTATCAACTCACCTGGATCTAGATCGTATATTTGATATACTTTTTTTTCAATTTTTCTTTGCTAGATTACTTATTAGGTATTATGAGAGGTCTGTAATAAATTTACGATAAAAAATTTATTAGAGAAGATCTCACTCCCGCTCGCTCAAATTATTGGATTTTGTCTATGTGAAAGCAATCACCAATTCTATAAATAAAAGCTTGATATGAAAGGAACTCATCAAGTATAACATAAAACAATCATTCTTGAGAGCAATAACCAAGCTATGATGAGCCACCAAACCTACTCTTGCCCTATTTATTTAAGAATTCCTTTCCTCTTTTCTCCCTTTTTATTACCTATTTGATGGTGCACCTAAGTTGCTCACAAAAGTACCTTTTTTTTTTTTTTCCATGTATGTCCATAATGGTTGTGAAAGTTTTTATGGTAGAAAATATAAAAGTTAAAAAGAAACTCACGCAGACGATAACAACTATACATTAGGAACTAGAAGAGGGCCTTATATTTGTTCATATGATGAAAAAAGCGAACCTCTGATAAATTAATGCAAGCAATTTTCTGTACAGAGACATTCCCCTTCCCCAACAAAAAGGATGACAAAACTGCTAAATTACATATATTGACAAATTAATAAAAAAAAAAAAAAAAATTGCGGCCCTTGCTATTCTCAACTTACCTCAAGAAACAAAAAGAAAAATTAATAGTATTCGACAACATATATGTTTTATCTACTTGATGGCATAGGAACGAGTGCACACTACCTCAAGCGCTTCCATAATTAAGGCAGAAAAACTCGCCACAGCCTGAAATACTCCAGGCAAGCCCGTCTGAATGTTATTTAGGGTCATTGCTCTTGTCACCTCTACAGCCTTAGAGTGCCTTAGCATCTCGTCTTCTACCCGCCTTTGGCAAGCTGCAAGCTCTGATTTCTTCTCGGAGAGGGGGTCTCGTGCATCCAACACATGGCCATTATCAGGCCCAGTATCAGGAAGCCCAATGCCAACCATAGAGTATGAGTGGTAATACTTCTTCTCTATGGTCCGAAGAGCTGAAGATTTTTTCTCAAGCTCTTTTGACGCAGATTCAGTTCGCTTTTTAATTTTGAGCTCCTCTGTTTGTTTCAAAGATATTGAATGGACAACGTTGATGAAACTTTTAATGGCTTCAGATGCAACTGTGTCTGGTAGACGTTCAAGGGCAAGCTTCCACTCATCACAGAACATAAACGCCTCAGAAGGTTCCCCATTGCCATTGGTTGGCTCACTGTTAACAGGAAGAAGAGTATGCCTAAACCAGCCATGGAGGGAGCAGATGAAGTCCCTTTGGAACTTCACTAGGCGGCAGAAACTAGAGTGCCAGGCAGAAACAGCTGACTCAAGGTCACGTGTTGCCTGTCGGTGGAGGTCTGAGGTTGATTCACCCTTGGTTGATCGGTTGACCAGACCCCGCACTTGCTGCACAATGTCATTCTGGACTTCGTGGAACTGGTTCATCGATCTCCACATGTACATGAACCTGCAATAATGTTTTCACCAGTACAAGTTTTACTTGTATATCAAGGCAGGAGCACACTACCTACATGTTTAATATAAAAGGAAAATGAATGTAAGGAAAAAAAAGTGATATTTAACATGTTATTCAAATTTAATTTCTGTTCTCTTTCGTAGCCTCATATTTCGAAAAATAATAAAGGCCTAGACCAACCAAGAACATTCTCCACAAAACAAAATAAATTCTCATATAAGACCATCTACAAATGGTAGAGCCATCAAATTGTGGTTTTACATAATTTTTTACTTCTTGCCCATGTTTTGGCTCCACAGTTCCTCTTTGGCAAATCTAATCAGTCCGTAGTCTTGTCTCATTTCTAAGTTGTCCACATGCGACTCACAATTTGTTTAATCCAGAAGGATATGCTAAGTAACAGTTGTAAGCACATCAAACTGCTGATTTTTTAGTTGTCCCTCGGTCATTGTGTTTGCCTCTGTGTGTAGCAAGTAATCCAATGGACATGCCCAACTTGTAGGTTATGATTATAATGATTTTGTTCTTGACTCAAGTCACCATACCATACAATTAATCTAGAGTACACGATGGTGGGCCGTATCACAGTTAAAGCAATGTACCTAACTCTCACCCATTAATGGCTGTTGGCATAAGCCATGAAAAATAATCAACAAAACAACCGTTAGATAAAACTGCCACCAGGTTGGGACCCAACCTGTTCTGAAAGTGCTGCCAACAACTGGCCATTAGTCCAGGACAAAAGGCTCCAGCTGTTATTTATGGTCAAGCAAGTTGCATGGCACATACGGAGCAGAGCATAATAATTTTCACCTACATTTGGACAAGCAAGTGATCTACACTAGCATGTTTTAATTGAGGAAAGATAATGCATCCAAATTATAATGTTCATGGATCACTAGTTAGTTACCACATATTATGATAGCACCAAAATAAATTTTGAGCCATCATTCCCTGGAATATAGAGCATGCAAAAGCCAAATTTCAAAATCTGTATTGGGTGATTTTCCTAGGGAATTGTACTATCTTCAAAAAAGGAAACTGTGGCATGGCTTAAATCTCAAGAAATGAGACTCGGATGGTATTGAAGTCAAATTGAGCTTCCAATTTTGGAAAGGAAAAGATTGGCTTATTATAATTTGTATTGCATGAATACTTATATTGTTTTAAAAAAAATTACATGAATTGGATAGAGTTTCTGTGAACTCCCAATAAGATGGGGAAAAGTGGCTTGATAAATTATAATATATTTGAAATTTTAAGCTCTTGAGTCACCATATTAATCAGTAGGAGTGGCAAGTTACTTGGTTAACCAATATCATGTAGGGGGGAGCATGTAAATACATACTGGATGGCATCTCCGCACACCTATACAACTGATTCTCCAATATCGGCTGATTGCAAAGAGAAGTTACTTACTCATGACAGAATTCAACAAGCTGCGGGACAAGTTCAGTGTCTCTTAGACCGATAATAGCAGAGGAGGTCGTAGATACAGCCTGGGATGTAACCATAATAAGGGACTGCAGCCTTGTTATTGAGGCCTTCGTCTTGTCCAACTTTGCATCCATATCCCCTCTGTACTCTTGGCTCTGTAGTGCCGACAACTTCTTTTCATGCTCAATTTTTACTCCTTCTCTAGCCTGCATTCATCATTAATCAATGAAGATATCAATACTCATCAATCACAAACTAGAATTTCAACACAATTTGAATGTGGCAGTACATGCAGAAACTAATTTAATGCAGTTTCATGTTCATTGCCTAGATTCCTTCCATTGAAAGCAATAAATCTCGTTTTACTAACAAGTAAGAGGGAAAAAATGCACAGATAAGAGCACTTTCATTTTTCATCTTCATTTATGCTATGAACCCCTTTTTTGTTAAATGGGCACTTCTTATCTCTGCTGACCAACATTAAGAAACCAGAACCAACTAGTTGGGACTCTCCTCAGATTACTACACAAATGCTACACCAATGTAGCAACATAGTTGACATAAGACACCTATGTATGAGGCAATTACCAGACAGTATGAAATTGGTTGGACAAGCAGACCCACCAGCATGTTCCAATTTAGCACAAAAATACCAGCTCAGATTGTACTAGCCAGACCAAAGCAAACATTTATCAAGGGCAATTTTGACATCCTACAGAAGCATCAATCCGTGACACCTCACAATCACACTCCAAAAACACCAACACAAGCAGAATAGTGACACAATGCCAATCCAATACAGAATATCCAATTCTCTCTCATCTTCGCAAAAGGATATTTTGGTCACCATGTAAAAATACCCAACCCAACTAAAAATAACACTTTTATGCCCTTGTGCCAAACATTGCTGTGTACTTACGCCATTGTCATGTTTACTAGTAAGATTCAAATGAACTAATGAGATGCAATCTAAGAGAGATTAAAACAGTACCTTCACTTCCTGATAAAGCTTCTTCTCCCAAGCCAAGAGCCGTTCCAAAGTAGAACAAAGACCCTTGGACCCGCCCGTCTCAGTGATGGAACCCGGTTCGAACTTGTACTTAACCGCCAATGGCGGCTTCGAAGTCCAGCTCGAGCTCAAGTTACTCAACAATCCACTGGAATGATACACAGTTTCTGCAACACCCAAAACAAAATCAGTGCACTTCACACAACAATCAAACGAAAACAAGCACCAATTTCCTAATTCAGAAACAACCCATAAAAATTAATTCAAATTAACATATGAAATTACTCAATTGGAGAATTGGGTTGGTAAATTATCCCAATTCAAAAACAACCACAAAAAATTAGTCCATATTAACATATGAAATCATTCGATTGGAGAATTGGGTTGGTGGAAAAACAGTAGAAATGGACTTAACTCTTCAATTGACTGAAACTCTGATCGAGCTGAGCACGGCCAGTCTCGAGCATCTCGGAGACTTGTTCGCCGGCGGAAGCGGCCTTATCGAAGTACTCTTTGATGGCGGCGACAATTTCAGCTAAATCCTTGTGCCTCACCACAATCTTCATATCGGAGGAAAAGATCTCGCTTTTCCCAGCATTCCAGCTCACCGAAGACCCAGCATCGTCAGATAATTTCGAATTCATAGCTCCTATCACCGGAGTCTCTTTCGGCTCATAATTGTGTACAGATGACCCTACATTCGACTTCCTCGTCCCGATCTCAGATCTTGACTCTCTAACTTCTGCTTCTTCTTCATCAGAAGAGCTTGAAGTTGTACTGTAATGATCGCCCCACTCACTGCATTGAACCTCTTCTCTCTCTGCCTCTCTCTCCCTCTCTGTCTCCTCAGATTGAGAGTCAGAGTCGAGGGGGTGCTGGTGGTGAAGTTTGTCATGGACTCGATCTTGAGCTTGGAGTTTGTCACTTTTGTGATGGGTCGCATAGGTTGAATTTGAATACATAGTGGCCTTATCATCATCATCATCATTGTTATCGCTGTTGTTGTTGTTGTTGTTGTTTTTTTGCGGTTGTGTTCGAAGAAATCTGAATCTGGAGGGGATGGAGGATAGAAATTTTCCCAATTCCAGACAGAGGAGGCTTGTGAGGGAGTGGAAGAATAGGTTGATTGTGCGTCGTAAGTGTAATGGTTTGGCCTATTGGGTACGTTGGGATTGAAGTTATTGCGGTGGCTTTGTGGGGAAGAACCGTTAAGGCTTGATTCGGAGAGAATGTGAGGGAGTCTGATGGGTTTCTTGCGGTTGTTAGGGTGGTGGCGAGAGGGGAGGCTTGAGGCGGAGAGGATATGAGGCAGTTTGGAGCTGGGAATAGTTGGAGAAGCGGAGGGAGGAAAAGGCGGTGGTGCTGGTGGCGCGTGGAAAGAAGGAGAGGGCGAGGGGACACGTGGGTGAGTGGGATTGGTGGAGGCGGAGCGTGGGAGGGAGGGATTGTGGAGGAGGATGGCGGGGGCGTTATTGGAGACTGAGAGGGGTTCGCCGGCGGCGAAGACGGAGAGGGCAGAACCCGTGAGGCGTAGAGAGCGGCAGTAGTCGGAGTGAGCGGCGGCGAGATAGTGGCGGGCGTAGACGGCTTCCTTCATCATGCGGCGACGCTCCTTGCACCGCCGTACTGTGTCCTCGTTGTCCAGCTTCGACGCCGTGCACCCCATCCAGTCACCTCTATATTTAAAGCAGAGAGAGAATAGTCTAAGGAGACAAACCAGAAAGAAAGGGTTGGTCCACGGCGGTTGTGGCAGTGGTGGCGCGATATTTTTCCGGTGGTGCGCTGTTTGATTTCTTAGAGAGAGAGAGAGAGGCAGAGGAAGTGTGGAGCTGAGCTTAAAGTGGTAGGTGCTTACTCAATTGGACCGTTTATGTCCCATCGGATCACAACTATAATTTATAATAAAGAATCAACATTATAAACTCATCAACCATAATAAAATAATTTAAGCTTAATATAATATTATTAGCGATAACACCGTATTTGAAAATACTTTCTAATACCAAAAAATAAACATTCATTGTATAATATTTTAAATTTAAATTTTTTTATCTAATCACTCAATTTTAAAAAAATCAAAAAGTGGTTGGGGAGAGAAAAAAAAAGATATATGTGTAAATTAGTGAAATTATCGAGCCGTGCAATGAAAATAATTTTTTGAGCACAACGATTGTGATAAATTTTATATTATTAGATAAAAATTAGATTAATTTTAATTGTTAATATGACATGAACATAATATGAAATTAGAAGATTTAATATTTTTTTAAGTCTCATATTTCGTAAATTAGTGGACTTGACATAACACAATTATGGATAAAGTCGACCAAAAAAAATACATGACAAAAAACCCGATATAAAATAATTCATTAGACATCAACTAATAAATGAATTAAATATAAATATAATATTTTTGACATAAATCCGTCTCATCCAAAATGATTGACAGGCCTAACTCATCCTATTGGAGTAATGAAATATGCATATAGAAATTAAGAAACAATACATGAAGAGGAGGTGGCCTCAAAAGAATGGGGCTGGAGATTTTTTTTTTGAAAAATATGGTGGGGTCCATTGCTATTTTTGTAGTTGTTGCAGTGTGACCAAGTGTGAGGGTGGTGTTGGTTATTATTTTCTCACTTGGTTTGGGGGGGGGGGGGGGGTATTTTTTTATTTCTTGTGTTTCTTTGTTAAAGCCAGGATTAAATATAGTAGATTACAGCTGGGATTGTATTTGATTGTCCCAATTTGGAATGACATTTTGTAATTAAGTCAAATCTACAAGACTAAAGTGTCTAGTCATTCTTGTCTACTTGACAAAAACATCTCCGCCCATAATTATAATAATGTAATTTAAATTTAATTTAACACTATAATTTACGGGCCTAATTTTTTACAGTCAATTGAATTGGTCGTGGATCCTAAAAAATATTAAAATTTATTATTAATTCAATGAATGTGACTCATTAAATCAATAAATTAAATTTAAATAATATTATTTCTATAATTATGGTGAGATCCCCTCTAATATAATTTCTCTTTAATTTTCTTCTTGGTAGATCGTCTACTATGCATTCAAGTAGAACTCATTACATACAAATGAGTTCTTCATTCGCTAATAGACAATAGTGAATGATCCACTAAGAAAAAAATTGAAATAAAAAAAAATTTGAATCCAAAATTTAAAGTATCAACTATTAAAATCCCGTTGGGAGCTTCTATGGTATTGTCGAAATCGAAAGTTATAATTTTTTTGAGATGTAATTTATAATTTCAAAAGACATAATTAATTATAAAAAGTAGGGACCAGACTATATTTTTTATGATCAATCATGGGTGTCTGTGATTCATGATAGCCTCTCTTGAGCAATTGTAGTTTTTTTTTTAAAATTATAATTTTAATATACAAAATAATAACGGACAGGACTGATACCAAAAAAAAGGTAACGTAGGGGTAGAGTTTCCCAATCCTGTCATCCAGATTAGGCTAACGAATTGAGCCCTGCCTATTAAGATTCAATACTAAATCATTTCATAGTAGGGTTCCACCTGAATACAACAAAGTAATCTACTATGAATAATCTAATATAAAAAGTGGATTCCAATCACTAGCAATATGGAACACTATTCAATCCTCATTCTATGGAAGATATGCAATTAATTCCATTACATTGTCAAACATTAACCAAATTTTGATTGCTAAACAAATATAGATGATTTTTTTTTTTACAGGGTGTTCAGGTTTGTATTGACTAATCTCTCAAATTCGAATTTCGACCACTGGAATCCAAACAAATTTAGAACATGACTTTTGAAGAACAAGGGTGACTAACACATAGAGGATATGAGATGTGTTAGACCTAAGATTATACTAGTGGATTCCACTAAAAAAATTAACGAAATTTATTGAACTAATAATAACCCATATAAATTTAATGAGTGAAATTTAATAAAAAAATTAGTAAGAATTATTATTCTATAACCTTGCAGTAGAGAATAAAACTATTTGTTATCTATAATATAAGTCAAGATATATTTCAATAAGTTTATTTCAATAAGTTTACCACTAATATTCCTCTCAAAATCATTTATATTACAACATACCTTCAGCCACAAGTTGCTGCTAATTAACGCATAAATTATAGCATAAGAAGAATAACAATTATGGTTACATGACCCCAAAGTGTAGTAGCAGTAGTATATTCTGGTATCTGCTCAAAAAAGGGGTTTGAGACCATATTAATAAACTTGACTAAATGCTTAGTGAAGGCTGCTAATAAAGTTTGTTGAATGGGGATTGGTTAGGTTGATGCTCCAATTAGTTTTTTGAAAACTTAAACACTAGAGAGAGAGAGAGAGAGGATCCAAGTATGGCATATGTCTAATTCAATGTTCACACAAGGGAATGATAAATATAATTTTTCAAGAATTTTTTTTAGTGTTGGAGTTATAAAAAAAATTGAGGGGACGGACTTCTTGAACCCTTAAATCCCTTTGTAGTTTTTTTTTTCAATTCAAGAGATTTTTCAAACATTAAGAGAATGTTTGCTTCACTTAGATCCATTGATCATACAATGATGACAAGTTCATCATTGTTGGAGGTTTTACGATCACTTAAAAATTGAGCGTTAATTTGGTACCACAAGATTGATTATTGTCCAATTAAGTTTATTAAAACCCCTAAATTTCTTTTTCCCAACCCTAGATTACAAGAAATATTCCTATTAGCCCATTTGAAGTGGTTCCTTTTTGACAAAAGCAATAAAGAAAAAGAGAGAAAGAGGTGAAAGTAAGAGATTGAAAAATGGTGAAAAAGTTTTTCCCAACCATCTTTTTCTTCCTCTTTCATATTCCCTTTGGACTCAACCACTAGACCAGATCTATATCCTTTTCCCCCAATATTTTTTATTTATTTATGTGATTGCTTTAGACTTACCTCTTTTGAGGTTGAATGAAAAAGAAAAGTATTAATGGTGGGAAAAGTCATTTGGGTTTGTCAAATAAAAATAAATAACACACAAGCCTTGGTTGCAGGGTAGATAAATGGTTTTTAGGAAAATTGCCAAAAATGTTCCCATCAACTAATTTTGATATGACATGAAACTTGATGTGGGGATGCAACTTATAGCAGTAAATATTGGGTGTGACAGTTATACCATCTCATCACGTTAACATGGTGTAACAATTCAATAAAAGAAAATCAAATTAACAAAATCTACTAATTTTTCTACGTGAGATAGTTATTACATAACATAGATGGGTAGTTATTTAATTATGAGATTTACTTGTTGTCTTATTAAAGGAAGGTTACACCGTGTCAACGTGATGACATAGTGTAACAGTGATATCCAATGTTTTCTCCAACTTATGCCACTTTTACGAATTGAAAGTTCAATCCAAGTTTAACCCAATATTCAATTCGACAAAAACACTTTTTAGTTTTAATGTTATCCCAATTAAAAGTTTTGAAATGGGGTTTTGCAACTCAAATTAGAATTCGGGTTTTAGTTTGCTAGGTTAAGATCATGTGAATTGAACCAACCCCGCACCCTAATTTCAATATTATTTGAGTTTGGATCTTAGCCCAAACACTTAAAAATCATCATCTCATATTTTCGAGATGGATTTGGATTGATACCAATGTTATGCACTCCTACCGTTAGCTTAGTCAACACTAGCCAAATAGCTGCTCAAAAAAAAAAAAACACTAGCCAAATCAATATCAAAAAAAGGATCCAAAGTTGTCCAACTTGGCTAACCTAGTGCTTTGCAACTTATTAAGAAAGCCTATATTTTGCTTAATTGCATTTTGAAAATACAAATTACCTAAGTTTGCACTACGCTTACCCATATGATCAACCAAAACAAGCCAACCACCAAGCAACTCATTGTTAACTTGATCAAGTTTTTTTTTTTTTTTTGGGAAAATGGGAGAAATTCCTAAGCCAGAGATAGGTAAGAGATTTTTCTCATTACCAAAAAAAAAACTTGATTAGACGTTCAAACTTTTTGGGCAATGGGGTGGGTAGAGAATTATAACCCCCCCTAATATGGCTAATATGAGATTCGACTTGAGTTGATAAGAAGTGCTTATTTGTCCAATCGATACGTCCTAAATTCGAGTTTTAAAACTTAATTCTTCAAAATGAATGTAAGAACATTTACTTCTTCAAATTCACAACGTTTTTAGATAGTGGGATAAAATTTATTCAAAAAGAAGTGATTGTATAACTTGTGTATAATCCTTCATATTGAATCCATGGTTGGATGGCATAGCTTCAACAATTAAAACCACAAAATCCAAAATCAGAATCTCGTAAAAAAGGTTATAGTTAACTTTTTTTTTTTTTTTTTTTTGGGGGGGGGGGGGGGTAGAAAGAAAGGGGGAGGAGTGATCAATAGGTAGTAATCTTCCTGGGCGTAACCATTAGGGTCCTCCCACTATAAAATATCCGGTTTGAACTATAGTTATTAACTCCGAAAGACAGTCTATCACCATAGCACCACCAAAACCAAGAAATAAATTGCAGCTTAGATTTACTTGTTATCTTATTAAAGGAAGGTTACGTTGTGTCAACATGATGACATAGTGTAACTATAATATCCAATATTTTCTCCAACATATGCCAATTTAACGGATTGAAAGTTCAATCCAAATTTAACCCAAGATTCAATTCGACATAAACAATTATAAGTTTTGAGTTATCCCAATTTAAAGTTTTGAAATGGGGTTTCGCAACTCAAATTAGAATTCGAGTTTTAGTTCGCTAAGTTAAGATCATGTGAATTGAACCAACCCCGCACCCCAATTTCAATATTATCTGAATTTGGATGTTAACCCAAATACTTAAAAATCA